GTAGATTCGCGATTGATCCTTCCATTTTTTTTTCTTTCCTTTTTTAAATCCTTTTCTTAAATCCTTTTTCAAATATTTTTAATTCTTTTAGAAAAACTGTTTTTTTTTTAAATTCTTTGTTACCTCCTTCCTTTCCCCTTCCTACTTTTAATTTTTTTAAAAAAACCATAAAATCTTTTTTTAAAATCCTTTATTACATCCTTCCTTTTCCCTTCCTGCTTCACCCCACTCTTACTCCATCTAATCCCAGAGCATCGTTCTTCTGCTTCTTTCTGTCGTCTTCCTCTTTTCTTTTCCTTTTTCATTAAGCACTGCGACCAATCGCACGGACGAGGTCCTGTCGCAGTGTTGAGTTAAGGCGTATATGACTTTATAGACCGAAACGTCTTATCTCACTCTTATCTCCTTCTCTCATATTGTAATCTGTCACGCCTTCGTCATTTTGGCTTTCAGGGTCAAGCTGATTGCTAAAGTCTGCTTATATATGGTTTATATTTAGTTATATATGGTTTATAATGTGTAACATATACGTTTCGTAATTTATGCATAGTTTATTTTTAATCAAAACTGCTATTAACTTATAAGTGACTTCTGAAAAAAGCGACTTGTCGTGGATGGAGCTTCTTTTCGAAGGTGATTATGAACCGAGAGAGAATTGAAACACTCCCCTTCATATTTGAACATGACGTGTCATCCACTACGTCACTGGCTACTCGAGGATTAGTTTGGTAGCAAATCTACTGTGTATCTGCCTTTAAAGCAAAATGCCAGTCTTTTTTTACCTGCCTGTTTTCTAGAGGCAGTGCACATTTTTTCCTTCTGACAGCTTCTTTGTCGGCTTTTCGCGAGTTTTCCGCGACAAGCGGGCATGCATTTGCTCCACAACTTAAGACGCCTCAAAAACATTTGTGACGAGTCGGATAAACTGCAGAGCTGAAACGTTGCAAGGATATTCTATATTCACGCATGATCTAAATGAAAGTGGGAGGCTAAATTTCTTATACCAAAATAGCAAGGGGTTGCTTTGCAAGGGGTTACTTCCGAGCCGTTTCTCGGATGCTTCCACCTTTCGTAATAAATGAATACTAGGGATTCTATCTTTTGTTTTTTTAATCGTACTCTTGATAGAAAAAATGTCCAAACTTGCGTTAAAAATACCTGCCCAGCTCTAAACTAACATTGATTTTCACCGTAGCATTTTTCTTTTACGTTGTTAACCTTGATTTTTTGACATGACTTTATATTGCAGTACGTGCTTCCGATGGTTTCGGCATCGTTCGAGGTATCACTTCCCCATCACGGGTTTTTGACCAAAGCGAGTAAGTTTTTTTTTCTTTTAACACTTTTCTTATAGCCGGTGCTATCAGTACATGTGTCAGTACATGGTTATTTGCTAGCAAAAACATATTTTTATGTCGGCTTTCGTCGAACCTTGAAATTAGCCTTCGTTGTGATTTACGTAATCTTGATTTAGTTGTAATTCATGGGCTGCTTCTCCAACTGGGTTTTTTAGCCAAATCTGCAAATTACTTGATAATCAGCTTTCAAAAGATCAAGGATCTGGAATTACGTTTTGATTTCTGAAAGGATTACCAACTGAGTGGTTTCCCCAGCAGAAGTATGATCAACTGTGTTTGTTTGAATCACCCAGGATATATCAGGATGTTTCCGCTGTCTTACTACTACTGCATCACTTTTTTCAGGGATCCAAAAACGCATCAGTGCCGGGTATTTCAATTTAGCAACACTGGACAGTATTTCTGCTACTGCGATACTGTAAGGTATGCCAGATTTTTGCTTTTTGGACCGAAAATTGCAGAGGATCAGGGATCGCTTTGGGCTGCAATTATAGCTATTTAGGGTTAAAGAAAAAATGTGAGAAAAACGATGAATGGGGAGTGGCGGGGAGAGGGGAGGGGAAGCAAGGGGAGGGGAAATTTTTGGAAAATTTTTTCAAGGCAATTAAGAGGGGTCGTTTTGGTTTA